ACCATCGTGATGTTCTGAAGTCCCACTGGCCCCTTCAGGCCTTCAATGTGCTCCATCCATGCCTGATTCAGGCGTTTCACAGCATCATAATCTGCCAATTCCACCGGCTGCTCCTCGTCAACCTCCTCCACAAGAGCTGCTTCTTCAGGTTGTGGTTGATGTTGATGAGCCTCAGGTTGATCGCTTTCAGGACCATCCAAGTTGTGATCCACGTCCTCCTCGGCCGTCTCTGCCTTTTCCTGTATGTTGACACGGTCCAGCATTGGCAAAGGAACTGTGGCCACCAGGATATACTTCCCCTTTCGTCGACGACCATCGTCCCTTCCGACCGGGTACGGTCCCACCAGGTCCATTGAAAGAACATAGGCTGAGCTGTCGGCATGCGACCTCCGATGTGGGCTGTCCACTCCTGCAAGCTCCATGCACCGACGGCAATCTCGTCGATATGGATGATGATGCGCCTTGACATGCTGCTTCCACTCCTCAACATTCAGCTTGTGGATGCGCTGACCCAGGCATTGACTTCGTTGATGAAGATAAGCCCTCAGCGCCTCTTTGAGTGCCATCACCAAACCAGGTGCCCAGCTCGCCCAGTCCCTTGAGGCCTCCATGGATTCCTGCAGACCCTTTGGAAGCGGGTCTGTTCGCCGAGATGAATCTCTCAAGCCATCCAGCTGTTCCAATCCAGGCAAGTTCCCAAGGATCGTAGTTGGCTTCCTCCGGGCATGCCCCATCTGAGATTGATCAAAGCTCGCCATCTTCAGACCACCGAGTCCCACCATCTCCTTCACCTCAGGGAAGTTCCAAAAGGATGGAAGGTTGGGTGCGGCCTCAGCCCCCAAGTAGGACATGGGATCCTCCGGAGATTCCAGTGCAAAGGCAGTAGGGATCGATTGGAGCTCTGGTACCTGCATGCGCTTCTCCTCAGCCTTGATAAAGAGTCCAAGCTGTTTGAAGAGCAGGGCAGTGTCTGAGTTGACCCGATGAAGGTCCCATGTTGAAAGGCCATCCAAGGAAAAGCGCCATCCATCTCGCCCCCTCAATGGTGGCGGTCCCGGCTGGCGTTGCCGCAATCTTGAAGTTGTACGGCAAGGTGGGCCACCCAAAATGGCAGCAATCTTGCCGGCGCAGGCTAGCTCCCATATGAAGGCCCAAATCGCAGCATCATGTAGATCAACTCCTTGAAGAGTGTCCACAGTGAGCACCACATAGCCCTCCTGTTCTAGCTCAGCCCACTGCTTGAAGTTCCGGCCAGAGAACAAGTGCAGAATGACCCCACGAGAGCGCCATAGCCTTCGTCGTCGATGACGGTTCCAAGGTAGGCTGACAGCATGATCTCGCCAAGAATCGCCCTGACCCTTCATGAACTTCCAGACCGAAGTTGGCACTTGTGGAAAGCGATTCGCCCACCAGTTCAACTCCTCATCCTTGACCTCGATGTCGTTCTGCTGCATCTTCTCTAAGTCAGCCAGCAAGTCCAGACCTTCAGATCGGGACATCACAGGGCAACCTCCTCTCAGGCTGCACTTCAGTGGACCCCGTGTTGGGTGATGAATCACAATGCTATCTCGGCGCCATGTGATCCTGTAGTCTGCCGCCACCAGCCATGCCAAGGGGATGATAGGCTCCACCGGTTCCTTGCTAAGCAAGGTCTGATGCTTGGGGTGCTTGTAGAGCACTGTTGACCCACAAGCCAGTTCCACCTTCGTGGCCACCAAGTCCGGCTCCTCCTCAGGCTTGGCTTGTCGAAGCACATGAGTGGCTCCTCCATCCAACAAGGCGTACTCGCCCGGCCCACCAAAGTTCCCTTCTCCCACGGACTTCATCCGCACGGCCTTCAAAGACCTGATGGACTTCAGGAGGCTTGTGGCCTCTCGCATCAGCTCGGCTGCCGCCTCTGTTGATGGCTCACCCATTGGCTCCGTTGTAGTGGAATCCCCACATTGAGCTCCTTCTGAAGCTCCACCAGCGGCTGTGTTGACCACATCCTTGGGCTTCAAGTCATCGCCATTCGCCGTCTTCACCTTCTGAGAGTCACCAGCCGATCCCTTCGCAGCTGGTTTGGGCGATGCCTTCACCTTGGACACCTTCTTGGGCTGTGAGCCATCACCCACAGGGCCAGCAGATGGTGTTGGGGTAGAAGTCGAAGTAGATGAAGTTTTTGCGGTGCAGTCCCTTCGAAGGTGCGCTGAGCTTCCACAGTTGAAGCACCGACCCTTCATGTCAGAAGTCTCGTGAAGGAACGTGCACTGAGCCCCACGCTTGCACCCTTCTGTGGTCTTCCAGAACTTGCATGGAGACTTCAAGGTGTTCCCTGTTGATGCACTCGTCGTCGATGTTGGTACCTCCAAGCCAGCCATGGCCTTCAGTGAGGTAGTACCCTGAGCTCCAGCAGTCGTGGATCTCAAACCGATCCCAAGGCTCAGCTCCTCCGCCTCAGATTGAAGGTACTCGGCGTACTGCTCGATGGATGGGGCCATAGGCCTGATGTCCACACCAAGCTCCTGCCTCACCGAAGCCACCCGGTATGCCAGCTGTGTGCCCCCAAGCTTTCCCAACGCGTCTGCAAAGCGATGCAAGACTCCACCCAGAATGACCGGGTCAGGAAGCGCCAGATTCAGCTCCAAAGACCTGCTCATCAATCTTCTCCATCTCCGAAGTCCACCAAGCAAGTCTGGTGCTCCAGCTGCCACCTTTGGTTCCGTGAGCTGCTTGAGGATGCTCACCCTTTCCGAGCTCCCACCAAGCTGGAAGACCGTCCACAGCCTGTACATGATGCCCGTCACCGTCATGGTTCTGCTGGCGATCAAGTCCTGCTTGATGAGCTCCGGGATGCACTTCAGCAACATTGGCACCACCCTCTGCTCCAAGCGCAGGTGCGCCTCAGAGCGCTGAGTCTCCACAGGGCGAAGTCTGATCCTCTCCAGAGGGGTCGATGTGAGCCATCGATCATAGAGATTGGAGGCTTCCATCAGGATTTCACACCACCATCCACGGGCTGATCCGGCCACATCTCCAATCATCGGAGTGACCACCGTGATCCAGTCTCCAAACTGCAAAGCTGACTGCTCTGAACCTGGCTGTGGAAGTAGAGGAAGATCAGAGCCTCTCAGCTGCTCCATGGGTGATGCTGCTCCTTGTTGTTGATCTGGTCCTCCAAGTCCAGGAGGTCTCACCACTGAGGTAGTTCCCGATGTGCCACCACCTCCAAAGGACGCCATAGGGCCCGAGGCACTCCAGCCACCAAGTTGACCACCACCATGTAGGCCAGCAGCATACCCTTGCGAGTTCGCCGTAGATCCAATGCCCCCACAAAGTCCACCAGCATGAAGACCATGATATGGATGAACTGCTCCACCATGAGGTCCAGGAGATTGGCCACCAGGAATTCCAGGTGAATGCACTGCCATCGGTGACACCGGTTGGCTCCAAGTGATCCCACATCCTTGACCAACACCTTGCGCTCCTCGTTGATGTCCATCCAGTCCAACTTGACCACGTTCAGCAAGATGAGAAGGTGCTAGGTGTCCAGCGGGATGCATAGCCAGTGAAGGTGTAGTTGCCGACCCCTGCAAGGCTGGCATCGGAGGCACCGACCCTGTAGTCGCACCAGCTCCACTTGAGGCTGTATGGTAGGACCGAATCTCCCCACCTTCACCTTCTTTTCCACGAAGTTTCTTCGCCTCTCTAACGAAGCTCTCTTCGGCCTCCTTCATGATGCGCAGTCTCAACTCCTCGACAGACTTCTCTGGGGACGGTTGAGACAACGTCCCAATGGCCAAGGCCTGCCCAGGACCTGCGCCATTCATCGTCCCTTGGGCCTGCCCAGGACCCCCATGTAGAGCTCCTGCACCAAGGGCCTGCCCAGGGCCTCCATGTAGAGCTCCAGCACCACGGGCCTGCACAGGACCCCCATGTCGAGCTCCTGCAACCAGGGCCTGCTCAAGGCCAGCGCCACCACGAACATCCTGCCCAGGGCTCGCTCCAAGTTGAGCCTGCCCAGCATTCCCATGGCCAGCAGGGCCAAACGTCACTGGCACCCCCGCCATAGGTGGCAAAGATTCCGGTCTCGCCACATCAGCTATCTGTTCCAAGGCTGCCTCACGCTGAACTCCAGCGCTCCAGAAAGCATTGACTCCGGGAGGCACTGTAATCACCCCAGCGCCACCTCGATCCTGGCCAAACAGGCCACTAGATGCCACCAGCAAGGACGTCCCATCACGGTGCACGAACCCTTGTTCCCGGCCAGCATCACTAGAGGGATTCCGAGCCAGCTCCAAACCAGCTCCAGCAGCGCTAGGTCCTCCATGAAGCCCTCGTTCAGCTGCCACGGCAGGGCGAATGTCATCATCTTCGTCCAGCCTTCGTCGAAACACCGCCTGAGCTTCATCATGCCCAGGTTCCTGAAACAGCGGAGCAAGAAGGCCATCAGGTCCTAGAGGTTCTGCATCAAGTTGGAGTAAAGTCACCTGCCCTTGCGGCCCTTCAGTTCCACCTTCTCCTCGACGTTCATCTTGTCGTGGCCCTGGTGTCGAAGCGGCCACGTCCCCCTCGGTCACCTTCAGTCGTCTGACCTCGGGCACTTGGGGAACCTCCAGCTTTGACTTCTTCTCCATCTCGATCAGCCTGTCTAGGCGCTGATCTGCCGTTTCTTGGGGCTGCCGGCGCCTCCGATCCATCACAGTCGAAGGAACCCCGCGCACCCAAGCCAATGAAGGCTTGGGCTCATAACCTGCGAAAGGCAGGTGCAAAAGTCTGCCCTTTTCTTGAGCCATGTGCAGTCAGAAATCCTTGTGCAGGGGGCCATGCTATGAACGGTCGTCCATGCTGCATGCCAGTCCTACAAGTGACAACACTTCTTGATTTGTGTGTGTCATCCTTTGAAAACGGCACCACAGTACCAAAACAATCTTACCTTACCAAAAAACTCGTGGAACATCCGGTGGATCTCCCCTGTTTTTCAGATGTTCGACTCCCAAAGACATCGCCCAATTCATCGCCTGCTGCAGTGGATCAGTGTTGTTGTAAGGGCAAATCGCTTCTCCTGCACGCAACAGCCATCCCATTCAGATTCTGTTCACATCAGAATAGCTGGGATTTATGGCAATTTATGGATGTTCATCCCGTAAAAGATGGTATGTTATAGGGTATTGATCCATAGGCACATCTATGATCAATGATTGTATAATGCACGCACACAGTTTAGATTCATCTTGCCGGAAAAGCGGATGATGGATATTGTGCCTCTCTCAGAGATTCTCAAGCTGATCATAGTTTCATTATCCCATCGCCGTGTCATGGTTTAGAAAACGTATTCCCCATTCACAACCCATGTCTGGATGAAATATCATGTCCAAAACATCCAGAAATGGATCCATATTTTTCCGTATGAACCTCATTTTCCATATTAAACATCCATAGTTCATAGCAGAAAATCATGTCCAGAACATCCCTATAAATCACCAGAATGTTCTTCCAATTTCAACCCCAAGGTTTCACCATTGCCTGGTGGTCCCACATAGGGCGACCGGCAGTGGATGTTGCAGGAAACGCCCGGACCAATGCCTTGCGAGTTCTCTGGAGGAATGTCGCAGAACAACAGTTAAAGACACGAAGATCTTTGTTTATTTTGTTTGTTTGCTGTCTTGTTCACAAGTTTACCCATCTCTAGTTGTTAAACTAAGAGTGAAACATGTTCAAGTGAAAGGTAAGTTTCCACCAACATGTCAAGAAACAGCCAGGAAGATTTACAAAAACAACTACATCAACCAAAAATCATCAACAGCTATATTCAACAAAAATACATACACGACCTGCCCAGTGTTTCACCAAATCTGGTATCTCAACCATGGTACCATCGCAGAGGCTGGTGTCCAAACTGCAGTTGTCAGCTGCTGAGGTGGTGATCATCCCGTTACACAAGGCGAAGGGCAAACATCCTTGGGATGGGATACAGCTGGGATATGGAGAAAATGAATGAAAAATGATGATTGGTAGAATGGGGATTTTCTATTTCCAAATGTTCTGCATCTAGTTTTCCATGAACATGAGATGTGCAATCCAATATAGGCAAATGGATTTGCCATATGCTGATATGGAATGATATGGATGTTGATCAATACCTTATCTGTTTCAGAAAGTTGGATGTGCACATGGCACGGAATGGGATCAGCCTTTCCCATATCGTCAAGAGAAGGATCTACATGGAAGTACTGGGTCCATTTGATCCAATTTCATCCCATTTCACAACTGGCCATAAAGTGGTGATACAGTGATACATCCCTTCCCTCTACCGGCAGCACGACAGCCGTGTGTTTCCACCCAGTGACCAGCCGGTTCGTTGATCAAAGTGCAGTTGGGCCCAAAGGAACAGGCGAAGGTCACAGTTCCGGCGTAGCCGGGAGCACACATCCAATTGTTGGCCTGTGAAAGCCACGGAGGATAGGTTAAAAAATCGGTTAAACACAAGTTAATGTTAATGGCAACACAACATAACCAACCACAATCATCAACCACATTAACCACATCAACCACATTAACATTAACCACAACCATCATCAACCACGACCCAAACTTGTATCGCTTGTATATAATGTCTTCAGTTTCGACTGCTGTGAATTGTGAATTCGCCAAGTTGCGGCATCCTTCATGTATCCATCAGGCATGATGTAAATGAAGCCGAAGGGGACGTCCGAGGGATCCGGGCAGTTCAGGTCACACACCGGCTTTGCGACGTTCTCCAGCCACACCGAACTCCTGTCGACGTGGAGTTCCAGTGGATTTCCAGTAAATATCAAAGGATAAAGAATATCACAGGATCATTGAAGTTGAGGAATGAAACTGGGATTTGAGGGATCCAATTGGGTTTCAATGCCAGCGATGTCCTGTTGAAGACGGTGTTGTCTGCAGGGCATCCGGCAAAGCCGAAGGTCCCTTCATAGGGAGCTTTGCCTCACAAACCATGGGTCAGTAAGGTCTCACTGCCACAAGATGCGTCTCCAAAAACATGTACTTTTCTGGGAAAGTATGGGGAAGATGAGGTTTAGAACCATGGGATGTTAAACTGTTAGATGGAAATATCTGCGAATACAGTATCTGCATTTTATCAAACAAACTGCACCATGTGCGTCATCCTATCCCAACTGCACCCAAAATGACATTTTTTATAGCTGAAGCTGAGCCAAGCTTCAACGAATGATGCAGGTTTCACCGGCTCGTGGAGGATATTGGACGCAGTCACCTGAGCCAACTTTTGCAGTGCCAACAGTGGCGGAATCACTGAAGTTCCTTTGGATAATATAAAATTAGAACCACAAAAGAGCGCTGAGAATTTGAAAAATCCAAGCAAACAAATGAACCGACATTGACATCATGACTTCCTGACAGAGCTGGCTAGCTTGCTGGGAAACAGTCGCCGTGAAGCCAAACACAAGTAGGGAAACAATTCACTAGATTGCAGCCCTACATTTGGCTATCTATAGTGAAGATAAATGTGAAAGTCACCAAGAATGTGATGCCCTCCAGTTCTACAACTGATTATTATTGGATGCTATTGGGGACGGTAAGAACGTCAAAAGCTGTCAGTCATATCACAAACTTCTTTGCAAACTGTTTGGGATAGTTTAGAACTTACAAAAAAAACAACTAACAATGACATACAATCTTGTGACTCATCTACATAGAAACATATATTTATATAGAATTATACATAATTCATACCGCCATCATCCTCATGATTTTCTAACATCATCCCGTGATTTTTCCCAAATCCCATCCTTTTCTCGTCATCCCCAGTGGCTGATGTCGTACCGACAGCGATCTGCAGGATCGACCTCTGGCTCCTTGCACTGCTGCAGTGGGAAGCAGCCGCGCAGGGTGGGCTCCGGCAGGCAGAGGTCGCCGTCCTCAACGAACGTGGGATGATCATGGGATGATGGGGAAAATGGATGGAAAATGGATGGAAAAATGGATGGAAACCTAGGGTTTATGGAGGAACATCTATAAATATCTATGGGTTTCTATGGGAAAATCGATGAACAATGGATGGTTTATGGGGGGAAATCTAAAAATATCTGTAAAATTATCCAATTGGTGTTGAAAAATTGATGGGAAATTTGGGGTCCAATATTGATATTGATCCAATGTCAAAGATCCATGTGTTGATCTTTTCTGTGACAGCTCAGACGGTTCGCGAACAAAGAACACAACTTCAATGATTGAAGCGATTTTCAGTAGAGTTGAAGTGACTTTGAATCTCCGTCACTTTTAGCAACCCTCAAGCATCAAGCAACCCCGCTCCTGGCAGAGCAGTTCCGCATCTCCAGCATAGCCCTTGGCGCACTGCCAAACTGTGCCATTCTTTTCGTATCCCTCGGGTGTGACGAAGGGGTCCGGGCAGAAACAGTTCGGCAAGGTGTAGTAAAGCTGCCTGAGCTGTGACATGTCGTCAGCAGATTCCCAATATGGACATAATCATGTGTGACATCCACAAAATATCACAAGTTTTGCATCAGAAGAACGTGTTTTAGTTGCCAAAGAAATTCACGAACTAAAGATTACAGCGCCTCTGAGGAAATGCATGTTGACACCAATGATTTTCTGGCACAAAATATGAAAAATCTCCGCACACAATCAGGTGATCCGATGCTGGCCGTATTGATTGCCTGGTGATCCGCATGCTTCTGGATGTCTATTCCTTCGATCTGGATTAAACACTTGCACTCTATTGACTGGCCATATTTTGACAGCTAAATTCCCACACTTTCTGGTTTAAATTCAGGTTCTATTCAAACATCACTATGATGATGTCAAAAAAAACTTCATTATATTCCCCCTGTCATTAGGGATGATCTATTTGAATTCACCTCAGCTACGCTGGATTTAGCCTAATATTCCCTAGGTTTTGGTGCTTAAATCCCCATGTTTTCTGTGTCAGATCCGCCAATGGAACCCAGGTGCTGTGGTAGAATCACCGCATCGTTGGTACCGCTGCTGCAGCGGGGCGCTGGCATCTTCAAACTCCGTTCCGATTCGGGTGGGGCACCAGCACCTGAAAGGTTGAGAGGTTGGGGGTTGCCCAGAAGGGATTTCGGATATTGATGGATATTTTATGGATATTAATTCATGGATAAACCATAGTTTCATAGTGATTTCATGGTGATTTCCATGATTTTCCAATCAGATGTTCACCAGGCTTCAAATTCCATCCCAATGGTGAACTTCAAATGGCGCCTTCAGAGCAATTGGCCTCGGTGGTGACTCCATCATAGGGAAACTGGCACCTGGCGAATGGGGGAGACAAGGTTCCAAGGTAGTGGAACCCTGCGCATTGATTGCCAAAGGAGGAACGGGACACGGGACACCACCTGCTTCTAGAGATTAAAACCCAAACAGCTTAACATATTTTACTGTTGGGAATAACTAATATGATATAATATAACTTGATATTTCACATGACAATTTTTCACGATGAAACATGACGAAACATGACGAAAATCACTGCGCCTGAGGCTGCAAGTGAAGCCCAAGGGTGTCGTGGGACAGTCATTCAGGTCCTGACATCCGATGTCTCCGCTGTCTCCTATCAGATCCTATCTGTGAATGATAGTCTCTGATGATGGTACAAATATGAGGATGATCATGATATAGTGAGTGTATCAATATAATATATCAGATTTGTTTTTTTCATTCAGTACATGTATCAGTACATGTATATATACTGATGTAATTATACCGATTTGCAACATCTCATTCCAATGTTCCTGAATAATCTGAATAGTTTAATTAGGAAGTTTTGCATCATCAGTGACTTCATCCACATCAATTCACATCAATATGATTGAATATGTCAAATGTGGAGAAACAGAAACTCATGACCCACCGCTGGGAAACCGCACAAACTGACAGCGATCTGGAGTCGGCATAGCACAAGGACCAATGGGATAGCAACCACTGAGCGTCAACCTCCATTCTTACATCAGCAGCGCGTTATTTCAAGCAGTTGGGCTACGATGCCGTGAAAACGCAAACACAGCTGAAGAGTGAGTCAAGTCACTGAAAAAACCATGAACAACTCGTTTTCCCTCAGTTGTCCATGTCGTTTTCCAGTTTTGGTTGCTATAAAACGGCCATTTTTCCACAATTTTCCCAGCCACCTTGGCATGCAAATGTCGTTGAACTGACAGCAGCCATCCACCACCCCGGTGTAGCCCGTGGCACAGCTCCAGCCACCATTCAGCAGCTTGGTGTAGCCCGGAGGGATGGGCAACGGATCTAAACCTGGAGAAATGGGATGGAAATGGAAGTTGAACAACTTCAGGACATGGACTACTATGTTACTATATGGCATAATTAATGGACCCTGATAGATTTTGGAAGTTTTTGGGTTCCTGTTTTGAGACACGTGTTGATGCTCCAATGGAGCTGGTGCCCAGTGACAGTCGACGAGTGCACAGTGTGGCTGGGTCCAAATCAGCTCTTGATCCGGATCGGTGTTGCCCTGGGTCAAGCGTTGCCACTGAACTTCAACTTCATCTCGATAAAAAAAAAGTGAACCAACACTGAAACTCAGTAGTTTGAAATAGTTTGGAAATGTCTGGAACGTAAATTCGATTTGTTGACCAAATTGGGTGTACTTAGTCTACCAACAATATGTCAACATTGCGCAAGTATTGTATACCCGGGGGTAATCAATTGTGGCTATGAATGGAGGTTTATAGCTTGGGAAATCATCAAACTAAATGGGTAAATTTTCCGGCAAGCCGTGTTTGAAAAACCGGATCAGAAGAACATCATAGTAACATCCCAATATATCATACGCATATATCAACATTGCTGCCCACATCTGGGCCTACATCTTGTTTGATTACCAAATACTTACCATATAGCTGCCATATATAACCCTATATTTACCATGTAACTACCATAGAAAAAATGGCAAACACCATGGTTTTTCCCATGGTTTCCCCATCTTCCCATCCCAAGGTGTACCTCAGGGCAATAAGCGGTGGTCACCGTGCCGTTGTAGGGCAGCCGGCAGCGTGCCGTGCAGTTGGTGCCGTCTGGTACCGAGCCATCACCACAAGCCTTGGATGGAGATGTTTCTTGGATGAGATATTAAATATTCCATCCAGAAAAAAAATATGGAAAATGGATGTGCATCCTCATTTTTTGGGATTGATCAGATTAATGAAGGTGGAACATGCTTGAAGACTTTAAAGATATAAATATCCAAGATATGTTAAAAGGAAGTCCATTGCTGGCTGGATTCTCACAGGGTGGGTTCATAAGCCAGTGGATGATATAATCCTGGGAACTGGTGGAGTTGCACTGCTATGCACATGATATCAAATGATCATTGGAATAAGACTCCAACCCAAAATACTTGACTAAAATGTGGATTAGCACAGCACTGCTGGTGACTGTGATAGTCACATCATCTCTCAAAAAATCCAGGTGATATCTGATATCCACTGCTAAAGGCCAAGCTTCCCCAAGGTCGAAGATGCACATGTCCACGGGAGGCATTTTGCAGGGACGGATCAGACTGCAACCTGCCACCGGCAGCTGGCATATCACAAGTTGAATCAATAGTGGATGTTTTTGCAGGATATCAACATCTCAACCATCAAGGTTTCCAATTGTCAATATTCCAAGATATTCCAACTAACATTCTCTCCGGAATGGCCCTATTTCCATCCCAAAAACCCAAGGAGATTTCAAGGTTTCCCGGAAATTCAACAGGGACAGCCCGAAACCTGTGAGAATCGGCTGCAGCTGCTGGCAGGTGTCGTCCCCCAGGACGCACTGCACGTGTACCGTGCCGCTGTAGCCCTTGTCGCAACGCCAACCATCTGCCGTCTTCACCTGAAAAGTTGATGGTCACCTGATGGACACCTGATGTTCACCTGGTTGGTGGGGTTTTCTCAATGAAACATCAACATCTTCACTAATCTTCATTTTTAATCATCTTCAGAATTCAGATTTCAAGATATACCATCTGATTATTTAACAGTTTGCCATGGAAAATCACCATTTCTAATAGGTAAACCGTTAGAATCTTCAACATCCCACAACATCCCACATCATTTCCCACCAGTTCCCCATTGATGCATCGTGGTTTCCCAACGGTGTTTTAGCGAGGCGCGTAGCCCACGGGGATGGGCAAGGGATCCACGCAGCCCTCCGGCAGGCGACAGGACGGCAGCGAGAAGCTGGGCCACAGCTGCGGCACCAAATTGCCTCGGATCCGAGGCCACGATGCCACGATCTGAACATGGATTATGGATATGAATGTTTAATATGGAAAACATCCATAATATGATTATTGTTCCATAATTGGAAATAAAAATAGGATTATTAATTGTAATCCATCATTATTATCCATAATATGATTGTACCATAATATCAGAATAATGATGGATTACAATTAACAATATATAACAATATTGATGATGATCATCTGTGGAACATATGTGTTGTGGAAATATCTATTCAGCAATTCTTCAGAACTTCATGTTTGACAGGCTAACAAGCCACAAAAGGACAGCAGTTACGCGCTTGTTTCTTGAGCCATAAGCACGACATAGTATAGGTGAGAATGGTAAGTATATACAGTTATACATGTGAAAAACACCCCCCGCCGCCCCGTAGTTTTAACGGAGGACGGAGAGGCCAAATGAACTCGATCGCCAGAAGTGACCTGAGAGCGATCAGAGTGAAACATGACATCACTGTCTACCTATCCACCATCGTGCATTGGTCAAAGCTCAACGGATGCATGAGGCATTGAAATCGGATGCATATGCTTTTGTGATCCCAGGCAAGGCACGTGTTCGACAAAGCAAAAGTGACATCGGCCTGGCTTCCGCCAAGGCATAGGAGCATTACCACTCCTGTATTGCCCTGAAAATTGGGAAGCTACTGTAGCAGGCTAATGTACACGGCTAATATACACGCAATCTACCGTCAAGGATCGGATGCTGGTGTCAATCTCTTTTGAATCAATTGGGAAAAGTTTCAAGTTAATCAAGTTGGGATTTCAAGTTTTGAAGATGTGTGCATTTCGATTGATATGAATGACCATGGGTCAGCTTTCATCCAATCGGCCAAACCTTCCGGTAGGCATAAAATCATGGCACAAGATGTGAAACATCTACCACGACTCAAACTCTACCGTTCCATCATTGTAGGTGCGCTTGAAGTGCGGCTGGCCGTTGATCTCGCAGTACTCCTCAGCAATCACAACTGGTGCACGAGGTACCTGTCGTGGAGGCTCTGCAGCAGGAGCTGATCCAGAGGCTGCTTGGGCAGAATCGCCAGCAGCTGGAGTTGTGTCGGGCACAGGCGTCGCTGTTGAAGGTGGCCGCACTGGCTCCGGAGGAGCTGCCGAGGAGCTTGATGCTGTAGATCTTCCCCAAGGATCAGCAGTCCAACCTCTGCCAGATTCCAATTCCAGCTTTGCCATTGGGCCTGCCCTCCCGAGCGGCTTGAGTAAGATCCATACGAACCCCACTGTTGCCCTCGGCTCCATCCACTGCGACATTCAAAGGATTTGTGGCCATACTGACCGCACTTCCAGCACTCAATGGCCTGCTGAAAGATTGATCGCTGTTGTTGACCATAACCCTTGCCTTTGCCCTTGGCTGGCTTCTGAATCGGGTCAAAATGACGCCGGTATCCTTCTCGCCCTTCGCCAGTACCCGTCTTGGAGGACCTTGCCAATGGAAACTCAGCCACATCTGATGCAGTGGCTTCATCCACGAAGGAGTGTTCTTCACCCTTGATGTTATTGTATTGTTCCTTCCACTGCCTCTTCGCAAAATCGACAAGGTCGAAGAAACAATCTTGGGCTGACCCTTGATCCACAGGCATCATTGAGCCAGACCAACCAAATAACATCGGCGTGGGTTCCCCCCTCGCTTTCAGCAAGTCCGCAGCAAGAACAGCAAATTGTGGGAGTGTAAAAACTCGTGCATGATGTGCAACCATGGCTTCCTTTGTAACGTCCAACGGGGAGTCGGATGTCTCTGTTGAAGTCTGGCATGAAAATCAAACGAGTGCTGACACCTGTTCCCAGCTGCTTTTCTCGCTTCTCTCGGGTACGGCCGACATCAGGGGCAATGCATTTTGCCAAATCCTCCAAAAATTGGCAACAGTCGGGGGTAATCTGGCCAACCGCATTGTTGAACAAATAAAATGGGTCCTTCTCCATGCGGTCCTGGATCGATTTGAAGCCGAGCTTTGTGTATCTTCCCGCATGTGTCTGAGCAGCGTCCTTGAGATTTCCGAAATTGCTTCGTCCAGCTCGACGTTGATCTGCTCGGGTGCGGTCGGAGACTCGCTGAGCTCGAGGCTGCTTCTCAAAGTCGATCTTGTCCAGGGAAAACACCTTGTTGGTCTTCTTGGCCGAGATTTCCATCCGGCATACCTCTGTCGCAATTCTTCCATCCGACCAAGCAATCAGCCATTTGAAGCACGACTGACACTTGTGGGTGCCCTCAATGTTCTGTTCGCCGCAGAAGTGGCATCGGACCTGTTGCATCTCAATCTTTGAGCTGTAGATGTAATCCTCAGCATTTGTTGAGCGCTGGGCCTGCCCTCCCGGGCGGCTTCCTTTTCCCTTGCCTTTTCCCCGGCCCTTGCCTTTGCGAATGGTTTCGGCATTGGACAAGGCACCAAAGGAGGCCATCTTCAACGTCACTTAATTTGTCCTCAAAGGGTCCTGAAGTTCCTTCACGTCGACGAAGAAGTGGGGGAAGCTCTTCTGGAGAATCGGTCACCTGCATCTGGCCGGGTCGAATGGACTTGCCGCTCATGAGGTAGGCCTTCAAACTGTCCCTTGCGTTGGCATACGGGCTCTTTGACAGGGCTTCTTTCTTCGGAGTGTCCTGGTCCTTGTGGGTCTTCATTTTGTTGTTGTACCCCACACGCGTGATCTCGTAGGGGCGATTCACCCAGGCAAACTCCCTGTTGATGGCATCATATGTGCATATGATGTTCTCCTTGGAGATCCAGTCAGGGCTTATGATTGCTTCGTCTGTACGAAACAATCGGCAGCCGCTTTGGACGATGAGCTCGGTGTCAAAGGCAATGTAGTATTGCTTCCCGGCTCGCGTTCCCGCGAGCTTTCTGCCACCGACTGAATCATCCCATGGATGTGACGCAATAAAGAAATTATGCGCCCTTCCTGTTCTTTGGGGCCAGCCACCTGGGATGAGACCATGTTCAACTATCTTGTCCATAGCGAGCCTGTCGCAGCTATGGTAGATAACCCTTGGAAGTGCAGCCAGCATCTCCGGCACAAGGTCTGGACGAAGATTTGTCCTTGGCAACTTGGGCGTGTCGAGGTCGGCCTTGGTAAAGGTTGGATCCAAAGTAAACACTTCCTTCACCAGCGATGAAATTTTGGCATTTTCCACCACTGCACGGTTGTGTCCTTGGACAGCTTTGATGGCGACAACCTTCCATGGCAAACCCTTCCAGGTTGCTTCAGGCAAATCGGGCTGAGCCACTTTCACCTGAAAGCGCCTGGTGTCACTGTTGCGCACGATGGACAGGACCTCACTGATCTTCGGGTAGGAGACGTAGTGGGCCATCGTCTTCATCACCGCCTCGAAATCCATCGAAAGATCCATGGGATCGATGTCTGGGCTGCGAGCACCATAGCTCAATGCGTGTCCCCGGAGAACATAAGATAACTTTGTGGAAAGAAATCTCAGTCGCCCTTGGCCGCAATACTCCTTGGGAATCCTGTTGATCATGTCATTGGGGTCCAACCATACTGATCCCTCTTGGCGTTCCGTCGCTTCTTCCAACTTGCGAAGGGCTGCATCAGCTTCGACACTGAGTCGCGGCGCTTTCTGTCTGGGCTGCGCTTTTGACTCTGGTGCCTTTTGCTTTTCACTCTTCGGCATTTTCTTTTCGGCCGGCTTTCCAACTGGCTTGTCAACCTCCACCTTCTTCTCGGTCTTGGTCAGGTCGACAATGGCAGTCTTGTCAGCAGGCTGTTCGGAAGAAGCAGAAGCCTCAGGAACTGCAGCATCAGTCGGCACACCCTCCCGGGCAGCATCAGCACCTTCCTTCTTCTCAGAGTCAACGTCCATGGCAGTGGCTTCAGATCCACCAACCTCGGTCCAAGTTGAGATCCTGGAAGAAGTCATGTCGCTGGGCTTGGATTCATCACCACCAACCACACTCCATGTTGAAACCCTCGATGAAGTCATGTCTTCCCCTCCTTGGTCAGCCTTGGCGGGTGCATCTTTTGCAGCAGCAGGGTCATCGGCCGACGTTCCCGAAGGCTTTGCCTCAGTGGATGTGATCTCGATGATCTTGTTGAGATCGGCAACCTCCTTGGCTCTTTCCTCCGAGATTTCATCTTCCTTGACCTTTTCGTCATGGGGATTGACAATGATCTTCTCATCAAGGATCACGTCCCACTCATCAAACTCGGGAACAACTTCAACATCATCATCGACATCAGTGTTCTCCGGATTGATCTCGATCGACTCAATGGTTGTAGTTGAGAAACCATCAGCAGCGGCCTGATTCAAATCTTCTTGAAGGTATTGTCGGGCCCTGACTTCTTCGGTTTCGTAGTCCTCGATCGAAGGGTCAATTGGGACGATGGAGCTGATCTCTTCATCAGTGAAAGCAGTAGGCATCGGCCTTCCCTCCCGGGTGGCTTCCTCGTTGGCCTCAAGAATTCCTGCATGGACCCACATGAGGATCTCCTCATCTGCCTCATCAAAGACCTGGGCAGGGGTCGCCGTTTTCTTCTCGGTGGAGACGGCTTCCATGACTTCTTGAGTGCCGAGCAAAGCCAAACGAAACTGAACCATCGTGGGGAAGAGATGGACCGCGGCCACACGATCTTGTTCGTTGCTGATGAACTCCTTCACAAAGTACCTGAGTTCGTCCTTCTTTGACATGAGCTCAACGTATTTGAGGTGGAAGGTGATGGCTCCTCTCAAGAAACGATAAACCAGTTTCCGGTTAAATTGGTGGTCGTGCAGGTGGTAGTTGTCGTATTTCCCACCTTGAGCGAGCATAGTGGAGTTCACACACTGAATGCCACGCTCTGCCAGCCAATTGATGTGCTTGCCCATCTCACGGTTGTAAGATGGCGGCAATGAGTATCCGGAATGGTCACCGTTCCCGATGACTTGCACAGACATGACACGGGGGTCCTTTGAAATCTCAACCAGTCCTTCCAGTGATCGCTGCACCTTCTTGTACTGCTTGT